GATGATGATGATGATGATGATGAGGAGGAGGAGGAGGAGGATGATGATGATGATGATGATGATGATGATGATGATGATGATGATGATGATGATGATGATGATGATGATGATGATGATGATGAAGAATAGACTGAGTGTAAAGTGAATCTGCTGTGTGTTCAGGTGCTAGAGCCTCAGAACGTGGACCCCTCTATGATCCAGATGACCTTTCTGGATGATGTGGTCCACTCCCTACTGAAAGGAGAAAACATCGGTATCACCTCCAGAAGAAGGTCACGATCCAGCACCAACAACAACAATGCCCATGTGAGTACACACACACACACACACACACACACACACACACACACACACACACACACACACACACACACACACACACACACACACACACACACCGAAAAATACACTTAAAGCTTCCTAGCGGTGGCACTAAAGAGGGTAAAATCATATTGAACAGTTTAAGCTGTTTTATATAGTAAACATGTAAATAAAAAGGTTTGACACAGAATGGTCACATTGAGTACATCTAAAAAAAATGAACTGCAGCTTTGCATACAGACAACAAAACTAAACCCTCCATGATATTGCCCAGTGGCACTTTTTTTCATGATTGATTGATCTGCTGAATATTTTATAAATGTATGACAATATTAGTATATGTTTAGCTACTTTATGCATTCTCTACCTGTGTAGATAGATGACCAATGATGTGTTTCTGTCATGGTGTGAGACTCCTGCAGGTTTTACATTGGCCAACCGTTCCATGTACCTCAGCATTGTCCCCACTGCGTCTGTTAGTGTTTCTTTTTTTCAGAGACAATAGTCAACACAGCCTCCCAATCCCTGCCTAAATATTTCAAATGTACAGTTTAAAAACAGGAATTCCAATCTAAAGCGGATCTATTGTTGTTTCTTAAGTCAGGCCATAGTTGTGGTTCTGTTTTAATTCTTTGTCTAATTGTTCTGCTTTCCTAAGGAAGATAGTTTTAAAGTCATGTTCTTATGTGCTTCCTGTTTAACTTAACGTTAAAACTCATGCAGACATACAGTCCACTGTTTCGCTGGTTACTGGTCGGCTCCTGTCATTTACTTGTGAACCAGACTGAACACCTCTCCAGTCATTAACACAATCTCTCCTTGTCCCACCTTTTCTTTTTTCTTGTTGTTTTTTACACATTAAAGATGACGGGCGGGAGACCCAGCGGGACCACCGGCAGCACTCAGGTAACTCTTCCCAAACTTATGTTACAATCTGTGGAGATAATGCTTTATTGAGAGCATCAAAAGAGTGTTCTACACTCTTTGCGTTTTGCATCAACATAAAGAAAGATCCTGAGATTCACAGAATAAAAAGTGAGTGCTAAACAATATAAATGCAAGTACAAAGGAGGACAGAACAGTTATCAGACTATCTGTGGATGCACACAGATAATTATCTGCCGCAACCCTAAGATGAAATGTCACAGTGAAACATTTAAAGAGCAGCTTCACCCAGGTCTGAACTCCTGCCTGCGCTACCATCTAGTGGCTGCTGCCTCTCCCACACTCTGCAGCTCCATCACAGCTTGGTGTGACCACACATGGCCCCAGCTGTGATGATGGATGTTGACAGAAGTGAATCAACCCATAGAAGTCAGTACGGCTGGCGTTTAGTGTAGTGTGGAGCTGCTCTTCAACTCAAGTCCAGTTTGTATTTCAGCAGTGACCTCTCTGCTGTTTGTTTAGACGTCAAACAGTAGCAGTGGAGCATAATTGCAGATTGTAGGTTGGGGAAGTTAGTCCACTACAATCATCTCAATATTAGCATTACAACTGTGTTGGAAAGAATCAATATTAAGACTTCCAGGGACAATATTTATACTTTGTTTCACACAAATTACTGTTGAGTTAAGCTTCAGAAGTCTAATTTACTTCACTGCAAAGACTTACAAAGTATAACTTCAGGAGAAATGTCTACTCGTGCATCAGTAAACAACTTTGTTCACAAACATGCCATAGGAACATTTTTAGAATAAACAAGTTAAATCTTACAATTTGTTTCTTGTTACTCTATTACCTGACTTTGAATGTGTGATGAGTGTAAAACATTATGTTGTGTTGGACTGTATTACATTGAATTGTATCCATACAACAGAGGGATGGATTACTAGCGTCACATCCAATAATACACTTAGTAACCAGTGTATAAGGCTCACCAAGCTTAAACTAATGCAGTCTAATCCAACAGTCCTGTTAACAAAAAAAGAAGATGCTAATGTTCACTTTTTGTTTTACCATCTTTACAGAGGTGTTGATTACACGTTGTGGTTATTTTGGAGAATGCATTTTGTGCTTTCTTTGAAAAGTTTTTTTAATATTTATTGTACTTTCATAAAAATCTCAGTGATTTAAAGTATTGGAAACATCTCTCAGTCAGTATTGAAGTCTAGCAGTGAAAGTATATACCAGCTGATTGTCAAAAAACACTAAAATAACCATTGTTATTTATGGTTATATGCATTGCTTATTCACTTTGATATTGCACTCACAGCTGCATTTTGACATCAACCTAGGACTCTAAGAACATTAGCAGCATCCCAAAGTCTTCAAAATGTATCCATACAACAAAAACACAACAGAAACAAAACAAAACAGTAAAAACAGTCATTATAAACTTTATGTCTGCATTACTGAAAAACGTTTGGATTAGACTGCATTTGTTTAAAGATTAAATCCAATAAAAAGAAAATACAAGTTGAATTTGTTGCATGGTGATCATACTGGATTGCATTAAACTACAGAGTTGTATTAAATAAACAGGCATGTTTCTTTGCGTTATCTAACTTGTGACTTTATTAAAACTTCCAGAGCCATTACACACGAGCCCAGGCCAACAGCCCCCGTCCCATCATGAACTCATCAGGCCCCAACCCGAAAGGTTCCCAGGGGACCCAGGCCTCGCAGCAACAGAGCCAGTCACAACAAAGCCAGCAAACAGCCAGCCAATCACACAACTCGCCTGGCGGCAATGCCAAGGAGCAGAGAGAGCAGCGCAACGCCCGCTCCTCCAGGAGGAAAGGATCGGACAGCAGCGTTCCAGAGGAGGACAAGAGAGAGGAGCCCCCAGCCAGAGGTGAGGACAGGTCGCACGCTAGCAGCTAGCTTAGCTCCAGATACTAGTCAGAGGCTTCCTACCATCAGAATCACAATCAGAATTGCTTTATTTTTCACACGGGAAGGGAAATTGACACCTTGCTACATTAATCTGCAAAATGTGTATGTCTGTGTGTGGCTGTGTGCATATTAGTTGGGTAATCTCCAGCAATTCCGTAACCGTGGAGAGCGGATGTTCGTTTCTCATCGGATTTGTAATCTATGAAGGGTTTTTAAAAAAAAATAGCCCCCATGCCCCTCGCAACATTTTTTTAGAGCCCTATATCCAAAATGAGGTTGAACATTAGCTTTTCAATGTTTTGGCCTACAATGTTGTTCAAACAATGGTTTCTGGTACTTTTTGGATTGAGGAATTCATATTTGATGTTGTTTTGATGATTTGACCTATATTTGACCTTCAAATCCAAGATGGCCGCCAATTTTTTAGCTCCAAAAGGTTGATTTTTCAACGTTGTCGTAGAGCCTTCATATTAGGCTCTAATGAAAGCTATGCTCATGCTGCCGTCTTGGGCCGCTTTATCTACACCGGCTCCCCCTTGGTCGTGCCCTCGAAGTCCACGGGCTGCGATCTTTGATCTCGGGGTCCGGTAGCCCGTCGGATTACCCTCCGGGCGAACACTCGTACCTCGACCTAGACCACCGATCGTGGGGGGTCGGACTTCTGGCACTCGGTCCTTCACACTTCCGAGTCTCATGGAGACTCTACTGATGTTGGAACTTTTTTAGACACGTTAGTAGAAGAGTGCGGTGGATTACGTTCGGTGTTAGTAGGAACAGTTGCTATTCCTACTGGAAGGGAGTAACCTGGTAGTTACATCTTCCTCGTTTAATATAAGTATACGGTCGACGTAATTAGACGAACTGTACGGAGAGGTAACCAGTTACGACCCTTGAACACTTACCCTTCAACAGGCTGGTCACGCAGTTTTGGGAGGGGAAACCGGGGTCGTCGAGTGTGCATGACTTGAAAAGACTACTCTCATCGCTTACTACTACTCACTCCACTCCCTCAGTTGTCTAAGTCTACTTCTCATCCCAATACATTAACACATTTAAGTTGAGATTTACGGGACAATTTAATGACACATTATGAACATAAGATAATTTGTGAAACAGTAGTTTAAGGTTCGACTTAAAGTAAGTATTTAATCACTTGTATTACTTTGTAAACCTCGTTGCCAAACAAAGAGTAGTCGAGTGTTTACAACTGGAAAACTGGAAACTCTAATGGAGACACATTGAATGAACAACAAATGACAAATA